TCAGTATTTGTATGACGTTCTGCGTAATTACCCTGGTTTTGGTAAATATTATCCGGTGGATGCGCATAGTACGTCGAATTCCCTGATGTGCCATTGACACGCTCATACCATATTCGATTAATCACATCTTGGGTGCTTGTAGCTGATGCCCCGGTTCCCATTCTCACAGCAACGCACATTTCATGTGCAACAGCCGCATCCAAATTATTTTGTTTAATCTCATCATTATTACGCAATTCTGACATAGGCCTAGTTGAGTTCTGTAGTTGGTTTGCATGAGTATTGTACGATTCGGGGCTTTGTAGTTGAGGCGAAGTGCCGGTACTAGATGTTCCTGTTGTGCTAGACTGATTGACTGAATTTTTTAACGGCGTTAAATTTTGTTTGTAAACAATCTCTTTATTAGCATACATTTGTGCGGAGTTACGTTCATAATCATTTTGGCCTTTGCTGCTATACATGTCCTTCTCGAGTTCGGCAATAAAGGATTTATCCAACAAAACATTGCCCTCTGCATTAGTTGGCTCTATAGGCTTTTCAAGACTAAGTGAGCTCAGCGTTGATTGCAGAGTGTCTTGGCCTTCTGAAATCACTGCGCTTGAGTCTTCTGTGGCAAGGGAATGTGGTATGTTTTCTTTATTGCTTGGACAATTAGACGCTGCGAAGAAAAGACTTTTCCGTGCTGAAGGACTGTTACATAATGACTGTGTTGCGTTTGCACGTAATATTGACTCCTGTAGATGTTGCTGCTGTAGACGCATAACGTTTGAGTATAGAGAAATAGCACCTGTATAAGTAGAAATTCCTGCTCTTTCAGCGCTACTCATTTGCACACTACTAGTATCGAAGGGATCATGATGTTGCATCGATTGTGGCTGTTGTTGGTGCGAGAACTCAATAGTATTCGAGTAAGTGGGTGGCATTTGATAAGGGGGTGGTTGGCGTTGACCAGGTGACGAAGCTCCTATCCGGAAGTTTTGGTTCAATGATGTGACATTACTAGAAAGTAACCCAGATGCATTAGCGACAGCGGTAGCCTCATATTCTTCGCCCTCAGTAGGCACATCAATCGGTGCATCTAATATACAAAATGTGCTATCTACTTTTAGCGAACTGCTATCATCGACTTTCATAGACGACGAAGGAAGTCCAAACTCCGGCGAAATATCAATCAGAATACCCTCGCTTTGTTGCTGTAGTGGTGGAGGGGGACGCTGAGGACCCTGCTTTTGGTGAGCAAGTGTCTTACCCTTCATTGCCTGTGCCGTTTGGTTTCGCTGAAGTTCAGCAGAACGTTCGTTAACTAGTTTGTTGTATGAAAACTGTTTATTAGAAACCGATTTCCTCTCTTTGGCATGATGTGCATGCTGCATTTGCGGCTGCATGGATGCACATTTACGATTTCTCTCTACAAAATATTTTATCAAATTAGAATGTTATACCTAACATTGATTTAAAAAACTTACCTGCTTGTATTTCTGCACTCGCACTCATCGCTCCGGCTCCTCCCCAACAAAAACCAAATGGCGAACCAGCATGGCCGCCACTATGACGAATGCTTTCATGCAACGGTCGTATGAGGTCACTGTTTGTATGCTTCTGTTTCTCTAATATATTGCGTGGGAAAACGCCAATATCAAATGAGCGCTGATTTTGCCCCTTAATTAACTTCAAATCAGCGCGACCGTCAATAATCGCTAAGGTATCGCCAGCCTCGATCTTAAGCCTATTTTCTTCGAGATAGGACCGTGATGCTTTAAATATTGGTGGCGACATACCTACTAAAAATTCCCTTTAAAAGAAGAAAACCTCAACTTCATATGGACATTTTATTTGATATATGTACCTACTTCAAAGCAGCAAAAGTTGGCCGCTCAGCAGGTGTTTTATCCCAACACTGCAGCATCATTTCGTAAACATCTGGAGGACAAGCATCTGGCTGATGCAGTCGCTCACCCTCTCTGTCGATTTTTCGTAAAATTTGGGAACCATTTAATCCAACCCATGGATCCTCTCCGAAAGTGAACATTTCCCATAGGGTTACGCCAAACATCCAGGTATCTGACGCATGTGAAAATTGTCGAAATCGCAATGATTCTGGAGCGCACCAAGGAAATGGGACCTTTTTATGCTCAGACATGACATAGCAGTCATCTTCTTGCGGCAACGCCCGCATCAGACCGAAATCACCTATTTTGATTTTATTCCCGGAAGCTAGTAGAACGTTGCGACAAGCCAAGTCACGGTGAAGGAAACGCTTTTGCTCTAAGTACGCCATACCAGTTACAATTTGTACCGACCAATTCCAAATGTGAGTTAACGGCGTATGTTTACACTGCTTGCGTAGAGTATCTAACAACGAACCGCGCTCTGCCAATTCGGTAATCATCATCATTGGCTGGGACAGCACCACGCCATACAAACGCACTAAATTCGAGTGATCCAAAGCATGCATGGCTTGCACCTCACGAAAGAAGTCGTCGATAATGCCAGGTTGTGTGAGATTATCCGATTTTAGCACCTGAAAATCACATTCCATTATTTTGGTATAAACACAGATACAATGAATTTATACTATATTGGATTACAAACCTTTACCGCAACAGGCAGCACTTTCCCGTTTGGAGCTGTATGCCACTCGCCGCGTCGCACTACTCCGAATGAACCGTCACCCAATTTGATGCCGAGCGTTATATCTTTTTCGAGTATAAGGCAAGTAAGTTGCGTATTTTGCTGTTCTTTGCTTACAGCTTGTTGTGACTTTTTTGTGGAGGGCTGCTTGCCCCCGCCAATCAATTTCGAAAGTATGTTTTTCCGCCATTGATGAGCCTTTTTTTTACGCACTGCCTCCATTAGTCTGCGTACAGCTGGCTTACCCAGCCCACATCGTTCGAGATCCTCTGGAAGCACATAATCGAAGTGCGCCAGACGTGTAACTTGTAAATCATCGCGTATGCGTTCGAGAAACTGCTCAAGTTGCACTTCATGGAGCAGGGCCTCCAACCATTCAGTTTCAGCCGTAGTACTGGAAGTGGCAGTGAATGAATCGGCGTTTATAGGGGAAGCCATATTATTGCATTACAACTATGAACTGAAAGTTGGTTAAAAAAATCCATGTGAACATACAGATGGACCTATTTATATACATATGTATTTAAATTACAAATAATAGTTTAGGACGAGCCTGCCTAAAACTAAGTACGCAATAATTCCAATTAATGTATAGAATTAATAACAACAACCAGCCAGGTTGGAATAAGAAAATTGGTAATCAACAAGAGTTTACGGGGTGTACATGGCTCAGTGGTTAGCGTTGTTGACTTTGCACATCGATGGTTCGGGTTTGATTCCTGCTGTGACACCTTCTAAAAAGTCACCGTGACAGACTGACAAAACAAAAGTCGCAATGATGTTTTTGTAGTAAGATTGGGCGTAAATGTAGAATACCTACAATTCTCAAATTAAAAAAATGCATGTTGGGATCGATGGAGATCATTGAGGTGAGCGTAACGATATATATATTTTTATTTGGGAAACAACAACTACAACAATTATTAAAGGTCAACGTTCAAATTAAGCATGTTTTTTAAGTAATATTTCATTTGATAGAGAATTTAATTCTCTTTAATTTGATATACATATTTATGCATATATCTTTTATAGTATTCACAAAAATCTAATTAATGTGGAATTCTACTTTGTGAGGGTTATAATCCATAAGTGCGGCCGAAGGCCGCCTACGCAGAAAGGTGTTCTGTGCAACAGGTGATCAGCACCTTTCCTTCGCAAGACAGAAAGAGAATTCTACTTTGTGAGGGTTATAATCCATAAGAGCGGCCGAAGGCCGCCTACGCAGAAAGGTGTTCTCTGCAAAAGGTGTTCAGCGCCTTTTCTTCGCAACACAGAAAGAGAATTCTACTTTATGAGGGTTATAATCCATAAGTGCGGCCGAAGGCCGCCTACGCAAATACACACATTAATAAGATTTTTGTGAAAACTATAAAAAGGTATATGTATAAATATGTATATCAAATTAAAGAGAATTTGACAAATGACATCAAAATTGCCCAATTCCTTGAAGAGGTTTTCGAGAAATGTTAATTTAAAAAATGCTTAATTTGAACTTTGACCTTTGATAATTGTTGTAGTTGTTGTTTCCCAAAAAAAAAATATATATACCGCTATGTTTACCTCAATGATCTCTATCGATCCTATTTTTGTTTTTTTTTAATTCGAGATTTGTAGGTATTGTGCATTTGTTCCTAAGATTGCACCTTTCAAGGCTCGCCCACATACAACTTTGGCATTACCTTGGCGCTGGCGTCGCTTTGACAGCAGCGCGAGTAACGCCCGTGCTTGCTACGATGAATGCTTAGCAGAGAATACTTTGGTCACTAAATTAACATACTAGCGGCAGATAAATCAAAATTTTATATCAATAATTGCATTAAAAACTATATTTCTTGCCTGCATTTAATTAAAAATGAAAATTAAATCACATAACTTTGATTATTTGGAACAGCTGACGAACGACGCGCACAAAAAGTTGAGAGTTGGCCATCTTTCTGCGTTGTGTTGGCGTCGGCGTTGCCCAACTTTGATTATGTGGGGACTTTCATATAAATGCACGTAGTCATAGTTAGCTGTCGAAGCGACGCCAACGCAACGCCAAAGTTGTATGTAAACGGGCCTTCACAATTGTATCGAGAAACAGAGACCAGTGATGTTTACTTAAGGAGATTTCCTTACCAGGTTATTTAGACCTAAAATCTGACCACTGCACAGTGGTTCAGCCGGAGGTCAATACTCAAAAATAAGCACATTTTCTAACCTGTGATTGATTGACAGGCAATCAGTCATTATTAATGGTACTTCAATACAGTGTAAATTTTTTTTGCGATAAAAAATTGTTAAGAATACTTCCTCACTCTCGAAAGTTGACAGTGACTCAATACTTCTAACTTTTTTATATTTATTTTACAAAAAACGCGGAATTCATTCAATAAACTCTATAATGAAAATCCAGACAAAGGTAAGTGATCCTATTTAGAACAATAATTATCAATATTTATTAATAATTAGCTGTATTATTTATGTCGGTACTAATCCAAGTCTATTTTTTCTTTAATTAATTTCTGCTGAATCTTTTTTACATACACTTTTAAAAACCCTGGCACTCAAGGCCACTCTTCCTTTTTTTTAATGAAAGCTCATTTTCTGTAGATTAAAATAATATATTGTTACGATTATCCTTGAACCCTCGTCCGGATTTCCCAAATCCTCCGGTTCGTATCGCTGGATTGTTAAATAAAGGCTAACGATGACCAAATGGTAGTACAATTAGGGCTGCCAGATATATCTGTTGCCAAACCGGGACACTTTAGGGAGGGCCTCTCGCCCCCTTCTCTTTCATTTCGACGTGCGAAAGGATGTAGTGAAATTTTATTTTGACAGACAAAAACAAAAACATAAAAACATGAGATCATGAGATCATTACAACGTACGCCAACAAAACAAAACAACTTATCACAACCAAAGCACAGAGAATTTTCCACAATGCATGAAGTTTTTTTATTCTTTATAAAAATACAGTTTATAATAAATATATGAAAAACATAGAAATAAAATTGTTAAACTTTGTGCTAAACTCGGGAAAATTCAATAAATTTGCATACAAATTCGCAACAGACTTTTTATACAAATTTTTAAAATGAAGTTTTAATGCCCATTAAATTTTAGTTGATTTTTGGTATTGTTTTTACTGAGAGTTTCTTCCATACAAACTATGTTCGGTAATCCTTTTTATATGGAAGACACTGTCAGCAAAAAAAAATAAATGCTAAAAATCAACGAAATTTGCCATCAACTTCAGACATGCACTTTGTTAATTGGCTCAAAAGCTACATTTTCAAAATTTGTCTAAAAGATCTGATTAGAAATTGTGATCTAATGAAAGAGCCTCCGAGCCAATAATTTTGTACGGCACTGTACTTATAAGTACTCTAGGTTTCATGAAAAAAAAATATAAGTACAAGATAACATTAAAATATCAGTCATATTTTTCGTTGCTGTGAACTTGTTTCAAAACTTCTGTCTTTTCCTTAATATAATTGTAAAACTCTGTGCACGTCATTTTGAACGTATTTAGGTACATATACTAATCATCAGCTATTGCTTGTGCAAAGTTCAACTATCTCGAAATGTGACTATTTCACAAATGAAACCGTTGCACTGAAGTTTTGAGTTAAAAAAGCGTGCTAAATTAAAAATAAATAATATAAAAAAACTTTTTAATATACAACGCTTTTATAAATGGACTAAAAAGTTGAAAATAATACTTCTCAGTCCCATAGAATTTGTTTTGATAACTTTTGATTTTGAAATTTTAGCAAAAGTCATTATAAACAATCTATGAAATTGAAAATGAAAAGCGTGGAGCGCATGCAATACAAAGCATTCGATTTAATTGACAATAGTCAAACTACATAACGTAGACCTAAAATTTCTACAGCGAAAGTAGAACTTTGAAATCGATTTTAAGCGGTCGTTATTCATATACCCACATACATACATCCATATATTACTTTTCATATCAATTCAAGTGTATTACATGCGCCCCACGCTTTTCATTTTCAATTTCATAGATTGTTTATAATGACTTTTGCTAAAATTTCAAAATCAAAAGTTATCAAAACAAATTCTATGGGACTGAGAAGTATTATTTTCAACTTTTTAGTCCATTTATAAAAGCGTTGTATATTAAAAAGTTTTTTTTATATTATTTATTTTCTACTTTTTAGTCCTGTCTGGATAAAATTTTGCAATAGATATTAAAATAATTCAACGATATTAATAGAAAGGTGCACACACAAGCATTTACATATGTATGTACATACAAACGAGCACCAATTAATTTTATTTAAAGAAATGGCGTGTCGTCTATTTCCACCGATATGCGTGTATAAACCCTCCTCAAAGTCTAGCCAAAAAGCCAGCAACTCACACAACACGTCCCCAGAGCAATTCGCTCGAGAAAGTGGTACCCGGCACACGTAATACGCGGCACACAGCACAACAATCCGCCAAAACAGGCAACCCGGCCCAAAATTACCACCGTAGAAGGCAGAAACCCCGAGCGGCAGTGCAGGAGCCCAAGAATTACCCTTAAAACGGCCACAAGAGCTTAAAAAGACCAACTGGTCCCCAACTGGTCCGAAGGTAAGTAGTTTCGGACTAGTCCCAAACTGGTTCCCAACTGGTTCCCGGACTGGTCCCCACTGGTTACCAACTGATCCCACGAACTAGTTACCAACTGGTCCCAAAGTGGTTACCAACTGGTCCACCTATACCTCAAGTGGTCCACAAGTCACTTCACTTACAAAGCATTCGATTTAGTTGACAATAGTCAAACTACATAACGTAGACCTAAAATTTCTACAGCGAAAGTAGAACTTAGAAATCGATTTTAAGTGGTCGTTATTCATATACCCACATACATACATACATATATTACTTTTCATATCAATTCAAGTGTAATACATGCGCCCCACGCTTTTCATTTTCAATTTCATAGATTGTTTATAATGACTTTTGGTAAAATTTCAAAATCAAAAGTTATCAAAACAAATTCTATGGGACTGAGAAATATTATTTTCTACTTTTTAGTCCATTTATAAAAGCGTTGTATATTAAAAAGTTTTTTTTATATTATTTATTTTCTCCTTTTTAGTCCTGTATGAATAAAAGTTTGCAATAGATATTAAAATAATTCAACGATATTAATAGAAAGGTGCACACACATGCATTTACATATGTATGTACATACGAACGAGCACCAATTAATTTTATTTAAAGAATTGACGTGTCGTCTATTTCCGGTGTAGCAAACGTAGTACATAGGGCGACATCTAGATGTCATCTACCTCGCCCTATTCACTACAGCTATCGCCCTATGCACTACTTCACTACAGATGTCGCCCTATTCACTATGCTTTTTTATAGGAGCTTTTCAAAGCTTTGCTTTGTGGTGTCGGACACACAACATTGAAAGCTTCTGGATCCACAACATTGCAAGTTGATAAAAGCGTTGTA